CCCTATAAGAATGCAATGAGTGAATTCGATCTTCAATTTAAAATATTTACAATAGTAGATACTTAATGGAAGTATAACATTAACTCTTAAGTGTTTGTTAAAATTTTCAATTTGATAGGATATGCATTCTACGAAACTAGTTTCAACGATCCAACCGTCAAATATGTTTGTATATACTCCAAAATAGCATGTGTAAAAAATCGCAAAAAAAATATATTCAGAGATTATTCTGGCGATCGTCCGAATTTTGGTTTGTTTGTGTCGATTATATTCGATAGGGCCATGAGTAAAAAAAAAATTATTTAAAACATGTGTGTAGACATCGAAATTTCGGTAAATAAATGTTGACCGATAAATCAAAGTTTCAACGCTCATGTATTACATAAATTTTACGCGTAGCGTGTGACTCAACGAAAATTGAAATGAGTTGGAAAAGTCATCAAATAGGACACGTGTCAACACCTGGCAGAAACGACTTATTTCATCTGGAATATTATATTCAAAATTAGGCCTTGGAAAATTCTATAAATAGAAGGCTAATTCATTCATTTAAAGGAACCAATTCATATTACACCTTGAAGCTCTGAAGCTCTGAAACTCCGAAGCTCTCAAGCATCCAGGTTCCCGAAGAATCAAGAAAGCCTTCTTCGTTCTTCGTTCATCGTTCTTCCAAGATCAAGCCCCGACGGCCTTTGGATCAACAATCATCCACCAATTCAAGATCAAGCCCCGACGGCCCTTGAAGAAAGCACCATCGTTCATCATCCGTTCATCCAAGATCAAGCCCCAATGGCCCTTTGGATCAACAAACGTCGACAAATCCACACATCCAACCGTTCTTCAAGATCAAGCCCAAAAGCCCTTGAAGATCCGTTCATCACTGTTCTTCAAGATCAAGCCCAAACGCCCTTGAAGATCCGCTCATCACCGTTATTCAAGATCAAGCCTCAAACGACCCTTGAAGAAACATTCATCCTCAAGATCAAGCCCCAACGGCTCCTTGAAGATCCGCTCAAATCCACCTTCAAAGATCAAGCCCACGGCCCTTTGAAGAAACTTCCAACTGTTCATCCAAGATCAAGCCTCGACGGCCCTTGGATCAACGAAACACCCACAAATCAACACCTTACGGAGATCAAATCAGAGGATCAAATTTGAGAGAGATTGTAACCCAAAATCATCAAACACAAAATATTTGTTTGTGCACGTTGTTCTTGTCTCTTTCGTTTCAGGAAATTTCCGTGTTCACAAATTGGCACGCCCAATGGGACAATCTCTGCCTCTCATCTCTTTCTCCGTTCAAGAAATTCAAGTGCACTTCCAAAATTAATGTCATCAAGGAAGGCTCAAACTGTTCCCGCAACCGGCGCAAAGAACAAAAGCGTCCTCGTCGCAACTGGTGTCACTTTAGGCATCACGACTCGAAGCATGGCAAGAGCTACTTCTGCTGCCTCTTTCACCTCTACATCAACTCTGCCAAGGGAACAAAAGCACCCAAGGCACGAGCTTTTGATCACCTTAGCCTCACTAAAGGCACCAAGGGGGGAAAGCCCAAGGAAATACTCCGAATCCATGCTCTCCGATGCCGATTCAAGCGACAGTTCAGCCATGCAAGTCATGACCATTGGAGTAACTTCAATCGATGAGCAGCTGGCTCAAATGAATGAAGCAATCGCAAGGCTAACCCGAACTGTGGAAGAAAAAGACTTGCAAATTCCAGCACTAGTCAACCGACTGGAGGCGCAGGACGGCGATAAACCCGACCTAGAGGATGATCCACTAAAGGGAGGAGCTGGCGGAGACGAAGAACCCCCGGTGAAGAAAATCGATGGGAAGCCGGAGCCAGACCAAGCAGCGGCACTCATGGGATCTCTTTCTATCCAGCAACTGCAGGAGATGATCACCAACACCATCAAGGCACAGTACGAAGGGAGCTCACATACCTCCTTGTTCTACTCGAAGCCCTATTCCAAGAAGATTGATGCCCTAAGGATGCCAAGGGGTTATCAACCACCAAAGTTCATGCAGTTTGATGGAAAAGGAAACCCAAAGCAGCACGTTGTACATTTCGTCGAAACTTGCAACAACGCGGGGACAGAGGGAGACTACCTTGCCAAGCAGTTTGTGCGCTCGCTGAAAGGAAACGCCTTTGAGTGGTACACGGACCTAGAGCCTGAGTCCATCAACAGCTGGGAGCAATTGGAGCGGGAATTCCTCAACCGCTTCTACAACACCCGCCGCACTGTGAGCATGCTAGAACTGACGAGCACAAAGCAGTGGAAGGACGAGCCAATCATTGACTACATTAACAAATGGCGCACTCTAAGCCTCGACTGTAAAGACAGGCTCTCGGAAACCTCTTCAATCGAGATGTGCATCCAAGGTATGCAATGGGGTTTGCAATACATCCTTCAAGGCATCAAACCACGGACCTTCGAAGAGCTTGCCACCCGCGCTCATGACATGGAGTTAAGCATCACCCATCATGGGAAGAAGGAACCGATCGCCGACTACAAGAACGACAAAGTTCTTGAGACAAAGGTGGAGAATGCTGCGTGGAAATCCACCAAGGAAGCAATGACAGTCAACACAGCTCCCGTCAAAATCCCTACTCGAGGCAAGGCGATTCAAACCGAAGCTTTTCGTGATCAAGAGACGCGTAGACGCACTTTGAAGGAGCTTGAGGAGAAGACTTATCCATTCCCCGACTCTGATGTGGTTACCATGTTAGAAGACTTGCTGGAAAAGAAGGTGATCGGCTTGCCTGAATGCAGACGGCCAGAAGAGATGAATCGCACCGACAGTCCAAGGTACTGTAAATTCCACCGCTTCATCAGTCATCCGACAGAAAAGTGCTTCGTACTGAAAGATCTCATCATAAAGCTGGCTCGAAAATGAATTATTGAGCTAGATCTTGACGATGTGGTGAAGTCAAACTATACCACCATCACTTCTGGCTTTTCCAACTCAAAGTTTTCACCTCAACCGCTGGGGGCATCCTCAAAGACAAGCAAAGTTGAAGGATGGACTCAAGTCACTCCTAAGAAATTGCACAAGAAGCATATGTCTCCTCCACAAGTCCGCAAATCGGAAAAGGGTCAAAGCAGCTCTTGTCAACCTTCAAAGCAACGTGAACGTGTTGAAGATGATGAAACTTCGACACGAAGATCATATATCCCCATCACAATGCGCGATTTCTTGCCCGAAGACTTCTTCAATCACTCGGTCAAGGCTCCTTGCTATGAAGATTGGAGGAACGCCTCTCCAAAATTGCTTGACAAAATTCACAAATTCTCCTGGCCCGCACGAGTCTAAACTGCATGGCACAAAGCTCCTGGTCTGCACAAGCATAAAAGGCAACACCAATGCTCCTTGTTCGCACGAGCCTAAACTGCAGACACAACGCTCCTTGCCTGCATGAGTTGAAACTGCAAAACGGCACAAAAAAGAAAAAAAATAACAAAAAAAAAATGTATTTTGAACTACGTTTTGACTTGATCTCTTTCTTTGGAAGGGTACGTAGGCAGCTCGAGCATTCAAAATTTCGAGTTCAGTCACACCAAAATAAGGAATAAAGATTTAATTAAAAGTTTTGATGCTATTACAATTTCTTTGTACAAAAAAAAAAGAGAGAGAAAACAAAAAGGAAAAGAAAAAAAATAATATATGAGTGTCTCGGCCCAACCCAGGACTGATCTCCCATCTCCTCATCGCCGCCCTCAAGATAGCCCAAGCCCATCAGAGAAGAGGCTGCATCGAGCAGCAGCAGTAACCACATTGTCAGCCATGGACCTCTCTCTGACGAGGAAGCCCTCTACATCAAGCACTGCCAGTTCCTCTACTACCGCGATGAGTTCGGTGACCGCGGCAAGCATGTGACAGTCGACCCCTCGCTGGTCTTCGAGAACGACCAGCTCCGGAACGCTTACATAGCTCTGCAGGCGTTGAAGCAGGCCATTCTCTCCGACCCGTTCAACATCACGGGCAATTGGGTCAGATCTAATGTCTGCAAGTACACCGGAGTTTTCTGCACCAAGGCGCCGACCCGAACGGAATCAAAGCCAATCCAAGTTGAGACTGAGCCCGCGAAGGCTGATAAGACTGGGTGGATAAAGCCGCATGGAGCTTTGCCGTTATCGTTATTTGGGGAAGAGCAGGAAGAGGACTCCGGTGCGGGCGAGTCCAAGGTTGGGGACGTTGCAAACGAGGGATTTGCGAAAAATGAGTCGAATTTGAATGTGAGAAGTGTTGGGATCGATGATTTGATTGCAAATTTGTACGGTCATAATCCAAAAGTCGTGGTTTGAAATGAGTCGGATTCGAATTTCGGTCATGGAGGTTTCTGTCTCTCGATCTTCACGGCTTCTGCTCCCTCATCCCTCATCGATCTCTAAAAAAACTAGGGTTTCGGCTTTCGAGCTCCAAATCCACCGACCTCCGTCATCCATCTTCGTCCTCCCGCCACCGTGCATACGTTGGCGTCGTCAGCATTGTCACAGTCCTCGTCATCATCCTCAATGGTGGGTATAACAAGTACGAGCAGAGTCATGAGAGAGGCAGGTTTCTCCAGCACCAACGTCAAGAACAACTTGGAGGACTTGTCAACGTCCTCCGTTTTCCAGTGTTACAGCAACTTCGCCAACTCTTCCTCTTCACCCAATGCTTCGTCTCCGAATTCTCCTCCGGCATTTGCTGCAATTCCCAGAACCCAGAAACCAGTTCACCGAGATCGAAAAATGGGCATTCGCAACAAAGCCAGACAGGGCTGAGACCAACCGCCATTGTCGGAATAGTCGCCGGTGACATAGCGGGAATCAGAATCCTCGCTCTCGTTTCCCTGTACATATACAGATTGAAGAAGAAAAAGAGCACCAAGGCCGAGCAAAGCGACGGCTCCGAGAGGCAAGGGCTGAGTAATGATACCGACATCATCTCATTTTTGGCTCGAACACAAACGTCGTCCGCCGGGCTCTTCCGCTTTAGCAATGGCTATATGCTCTTTAAAAGTTGTTTAGGTTGGTGTCCTCGAACAGTCCCACCAAGTACGCCTCCGCCGCCTCCTGGAGCGCCGCCACGGCGCTGCTCTGGAACCTCAGATCGGTCTTGAAGTCCTGGGCGATCTCCCTCACCAGCCTTTGGAATGGCATCTTGCGGATCAGGAACTCTGTTCTTTTCTGGTACTTCCTGATCTCTCTCAGCGCCACCGTTCCCGGCCTGAAGCGGTGAGGCTTCTTCACTCTTCCGGTCGCCAGAGCAGACTTCCGGGCTGCCTTGGTGGCCAGCTGCTTCCTTGGGGCCTTGCCTCCGGTCGATTTCCGGGCGGTTTGCTTGGTACGTGCCTTCAAGACAAGCTGCAGGGACTTCAAGAGATCACAGCGTTGCAGCCACCACCGTTCCGCCGCCTGCTCGCATCGACGAGTGCAGCTTCGTCGCCGAGAAGACCAGAAAGGTCTTCAAAAGCTTCGATTCCAACGGCGATGGCAAGATCTCCGTCAAACAACGTCCTCACGGCCCTCGAACTCAAAGTTAGGACTCTTCTTCCACACCTACCTCCTCCGTGCTCCTCCTTCTTCCTTCTCCAAATTCCTATCCCGCACCTTATATATATATATATATATATATATATATATATATGTATGTACGTATGTATGTATGTGTGCATGAAAAAAAACAAAAAAGATTAAAGAGGAGACATGGTGCACCCGGCACCGAAAGAGAAAAAAAAAATATAATAAAATAAAAAAAATAATAGAAAAATGATGGTGTCAGCCATCACCCTAAATATATATATATATAATAGTAAGTGCATGATTAAAAAACAAAAAAACAAAAAAAAACAAAAAAAAAGGGAAATGAAGGTGGTGGTGCATCTGGCACCATGTGATATAAAAAAAAAAATATATATATATATAAATAAATAAATAAAATAAAATAAAATAAATAAAAAAAAAGGAAGTGGTGGGTGCATCCAGCACCAAAAGAAAAAAAGGAAAAAAATAAATAAATAAATAATAAATATTTAATAATAAATAAATTTAAAAAAAAAAATTTTGCATAGAGAGAAATAGAAGGTCCATTTTATTTATTTTTCTGGAAATTTTACATAAATTTGCATTATACATTCATTTAAAAAAAAAATCAAATCAAATCAAATCAAATTTATAAGTGGGGATCTTCAAGGACGATCAGGTGGCGCCTCAGTACTCGGCGGAACCCCAGGAGAAGGAGGCACTGAAGGTTGATTATTTGAGGCTTCATTACGCGGTACAGCCCCAGAAGAAGAAGACAATGCTTCTGGAACAAACCCACAAACCTCTGATGATCAAGTAAAATCTGACCATCAGATTCCTGCATCTGGTTAATCTTCATGTTTGTCGCATAGCTATGTGTGAGCTTATGCAACTGTTTATTCTCCTGCTTGAGCCCTAGAATCTCTTGTTTGAGACTCATCACTTCAGCCGCCAATGATTCAACTTGACGGGTTCGAGCAAATAGGCGTTGGGCCATATTAGACACAGAACCCGCACACTGCACACTGAGAGCCAGAGAATCCTTAACAGCCAACTCATCAAACCGTTTGGAAAGTAGTCTGTTATATCTGGGAGTGACAAGGTTTCGGGCCACCACCGCAGCGGTCATATCATTCTTCACCACTGAATCCCCAGCGGTAAGAGGACCAGTAGGGGATATGAAGGATGGGCGCCATATGTTGTCTGGAGAAGAAGGGACTGCCTCTTCACTAAGATTCAAGTCAAAACGACGGTCGGAGGGTCCAAACATTTTCAAAGTATTGAAGGAAGAAGAAAACGGACAAATCAAGATCTTAGAAGTGCAAGAAGGGAGTTTTCACAAGCAAAAATTCAAGTGTGCTTTGAAACGAACTGCATGCCTCTATAAAAAAATCAGCACTCGACGGGATTTCAGAGATCGAAGAGGCGAGCTCAGAATTCGAAGAGGCCATTCAAAAATCGAAGAGGCAAGCTCGGAAATCGGAGAAGCATCTTGCTTTTCCAGACGCGTCGGCACCCATCACACGCAAACTCAGCTTTGCGGAAATCACGGGTAATTTGTCGAAGCGCCGATCCCAGATATCGAAGAGGCACCAGTCTTTTTCAGTCGCGCCATCACCTGTCATATGCACACTCAACTTTGCGCAAATCACGGGCAATTTGTCGAAGATTTTCGATGAAGGAGAAAGCACGTGAAAGTTTACTGTTCAATCACGCGTTAGTTGCCGACACAAGTGAAAGAATACTACCTCTACAGGTATTAAGGGACCTCCTATAACTGTCCACCTTCACCTTCCATAGCAAGGCAGACATACAGAGCCTTTCTTCATCTCCAAAAAAATGCTTTCCCAACGAAACCTCTCGAGTCATTCAGTGTTCCTTATTCCTTGGGGTACCTCTGCAAGCCAATGACTCGAAAGCAAAATTATCTCATATCACCAGGGTAGAAAGCAAGAGTATCTCATATCATGCGTTCTCCCTATCCTTTCCTTTGTCCTTGTTCCTACCTACAAAGACAAGGATAAAGAAAACAATATGCTGGAACTTCCACTCAAACTCGGGTAAGGAACCGATTGCTTGGAACCCTTCCCTGATTGCCTACTTAGCACTGCTCTCGAGTACTCGTCTCCCACTGCTGCTGTACTTCCAAAGAAGCTACCACATCTGCCTGAAGAACAAATAAGGCAAGTGAAAATGATACCTTGCAGCATGTGGAGACAACGTGCAGAAGGAACAAGCAGAGAAGAATGCGGTCTGCACAGTCAACTCAGCAGAAGGAGTCCGAACTGAGGAACTCGAGAAGCTGCCACATCTGCCTGAAGAAACAAGCAGAGAAGAATGCAGCATGCACAGTCAACTCAGCAGAAGGAGTCTGAGATGAAGAACTCGAGAAGATGCCACATCTGCCTGAGGAACAGATAAAGGAAATGAAAATGATACCTTGAAGCATGTGGAGACAAGTGCAACAAAGCACGTGCTGAGTCATCCGTTACTTCTTCAAAATCAAAAGTATCTCATATTATCAGGGTTGCAATCATTCTGGACGGTGAATTCGTTTTAACCCTCAAATTCTTGGGTCGGCTTACTAGGCGTTGTGAGCTGCACGTGTCGATTCACCACCCTTGAATCAAATCCTTAAAGATCAAGTCACCAACTGGAAGAAAAGCCCATCAATCTTGAAGATCATACCGCTGACCAAACTGCTCAGGTGTGAATTAGAAAGATTGAACAAAGCAACAAGTCGTCACCTTCACCTCGTGCCTGCTTGCAATATGTTCGAGTCAACCTTCAAGAATCAAGCCTCGACGGCCCTTAAAGAAGTTTCCAGCCAAATTCAAGATCAAGCCTCGACGGCCATCGAGGAAATCACAAGTCCGATTCAAGATCAAGTGTCTACCACCCTTGAATCAAAACTTAGTTCAAGAATAAGCTGTGGAAAATCAACAATTGGAGGAATCCAGAAAATCCTCCAACCCAGTTCAAGATCAAAGCTGTGGAAAGTCAACAAGCGTAACAAAATACGTGCCGATTCACCCACTACCAAAGCCAAAGATCATCTACCACATGAAGCTCCTTGTGGTCCAATTTCAACCTTCAAAGATCAAGCCTCGACGGCCCTTGAAGAAATTTCAAACAAAGTTCAAGATCAAGCCTCAACGGCCCTTGAAGAAATCTCAAGCCCAATTCAAGATCAAGCCTCAACGGCCCTTGAAGAAATCTCCAGCCCAATTCAAGATCAAGCCTCGACGGCCATTGGATCGACGTCTACAGTAAGGGACTTCAAAACGCATCTCCTACACGCGACAAGCACATGTACACGACGCGACTTGAAGTGGGGGCATTTGTAGACATCGAAATTTTGGTAAATAAATGTTGACCGATAAATCAAAGTTTCAACGCTCATGTATTACATAAATTTTACACGTAGCGTGTGACTCAACGAAAATTGAAATGAGTTGGAAAAGTCATCAAATAGGACACGTGTCAACACCTGGCAGAAACGACTTATTTCATCTGGAATATTATATTCAAAATTAGGCCTTGGAAAATTCTATAAATAGAAGGCTAATTCATTCATTTAAAGGAACCAGTTCATATTACACCTTGAAGCTCTGAAGCTCTGAAACTCCGAAGCTCTCAAGCATCCAGGTTCCCGAAGAATCAAGAAAGCCTTCTTCGTTCTTCGTTCATTGTTCTTCCAAGATCAAGCCCCGACGGCCTTTGGATCAACAATCATCCACCAATTCAAGATCAAGCCCCGACGGCCCTTGAAGAAAACACCATCGTTCATCATCCGTTCATCCAAGATCAAGCCCCAACGACCCTTTGGATCAACAAACGTCGACAAATCCACACATCCAACCGTTCTTCAAGATCAAGCCCAAAAGCCCTTGAAGATCCGTTCATCATTGTTCTTCAAGATCAAGCCCAAACGCCCTTGAAGATCCGCTCATCACCGTTATTCAAGATCAAGCCTCAAACGGCCCTTGAAGAAACATTCATCCTCAAGATCAAGCCCCAACGACTCCTTGAAGATCCGCTCAAATCCACCTTCAAAGATCAAGCCCACGGCCCTTTGAAGAAACTTCCAACTGTTCATCCAAGATCAAGCCTCGACGGCCCTTGGATCAACGAAACACCCACAAATCAACACCTTATGGAGATCGAATCAGAGGATCAAATTTGAGAGAGATTGTAACCCAAAATCATCAAACACAAAATATTTGTTTGTGCACGTTGTTCTTGTCTCTTTCGTTTCAGGAAATTTCCGTGTTCACAATGTGTTTATTTATTTATTTTTAATCAATATAATATTTTAAAATAATAAAATCAGACTTGATAGAGTACACCAGATATTCATTTGTGTTTATGTGCCAGACAATGTGCTTTGTGACGCATTGAAAAAAATTGTTTGAATTTCTCTGTATCTTGTTGCTTGCCTGTGAGGGAGCATAATCCTTATTGCAAAAATGATAGAGATTCAGATTGGAGTATGTTGTTATTATTCTCTCAGAAAATTTATGCTCGTGGGAATTGGGTTCATTAGACTTTAGGGTCATAAGTGAAAAAAAATTAAAAAATGTGTTCATTTATTTATTTATAATCAATATAACATATTAAAATAATATATTTTCATTTATGTCGATTATAACTGTCAGAATACTAAAATAATAACCGCCAGAAAGTAAAATAATAAAATAGTCAATTTCTGTCGGTTATAACCGCCACTATTAACTTAACCAGAATCTTCAAAAATATTAAAAAAAAAGGATTCAAAAATATTGTCAGTTATAACTGACAGCATTTTTTTTTATATCCGTCAAGACTTTATGTCGGATATAACCGACATGATTTTTCTAATATCCGCCACTAATTAAATGATGTGTCGGATATATTTTATCTGACATGATTTTTTTAATATCCGTCACCATCATCCGCCATCTAAAGATAATATTGTAGTAGTGTCTTCTTGATTTTTGTCGGCACTATCTCACCTTCCAAACATATTTTCTTTGATTCTCATCAAATTTTCTTTGAATCTCTTCAATTGTCTATGTGCAAATATAAGTGCGACAAATCGATATTAGACTGTATAGATACAAATACTCAAGGGAAGTGTCTTGATTGTAAATATGGTTCGGTCGTCAGAATGCCGAATTCTGAAATGTACTTGTGAATATCCAATCATAAAATAGGTTCGGTTTTTAGTGTGCTGAACAATGTAACTTGGTAACACCTCACTTCGCCGAGAAAGTTAATGAAGTGATCTCTTCCAACAAGGACTCAAAGAACCCTTATTGATAGAGACTTGGATAGGTAGGCAATCAAACTTGGAGTAGTGTTGTCCAATACGAATTGTGATGCTCCACAATTGCCTGACTCTACAACGCTAGTATTGTCCAATACAAATTGTAAGATGTCACTGGCTGCGAAGCATGGTGCTGTCCAATACAAACTGGAAGATGTGCTTGACGAACTTAGGTTTTAACTTTGCAGTATAACTTTTAATTTGACTCAAAACTTAAATATAGGTTTTAACTTTCCAGTACATTAGAGTTGAAAAAGTTATATTCAAACCAAATATAACATTTGAGCTCAGTTTCCTAGTTCATTGAAGATGACATTAATCACCAAATATACAAAGTAAGTGTAACATTACTATGTTACATACATTTCCCTGCATTCATATGCCAATACACCATATATGCAACATCAAAATCATTAGTAACTTGATGATCGCATATTTTACTATTTACTTACTCCAAAAATTACATTTTCTTGTGATAAGTTGGACGAAAATGAAGGGAATTACAGAGATTTGTGCCTTTATGACTAGATTAATAAGAAGGCAACATTCCTAAGATTTTTTGTGTAATTCCTAGTCAAAAATATTTGCAGGACCTCAAAGCCCCATGCAAGTTGCCAAAATGATAATGCAGATCGTTCTTGTGGGTCGTCCATCGACAAATGGTGTATCATTTTCAACAAATTTCCATGGCACAAGTTGGGCAAAGCGAGTTGAATGGGCAAGTTGGAAAAAGAAGGAAAAATTGAAGAAAAAGGGCCAACGGCATTCAATATGAAACAGTCAAAAGACACTTACTTGAAGTTGAGGAAGCAGCAGCAGCTAGTGGAATAATATAAAAAATTGCAAGGTTGGCATCAATCATGATGTGGAAAAAGAAGAAAAAGAAATAATAAAAAATAAAAAAAGAATTGAAAGTGGAGCTTGTCTCTGTGGATTGTTTTTGAAAAAGAAGTGGAGAAAAAAAAGCAGAGAAGAAAGAAAAGCAGAGAGCAAAAATAGAGACAGAGGCGGGCACGGCAAGAAGAAGGAAGAGCAGAAAGGAGAGGGAAGAAAACAGAGACGAAAGAGAAGCACAGCAGCAGAGCAAAGAAGTTTTACAGGGTGTTTTCAACTTAATTTTCATGTTTCTTATTATGAATTCAATGATAATTTCAGCTATGTATCGGAACTAATTTTTCTTAGCTAGGGCTACGATGTAGCCATGATTATGGATGCTTAATTTCTGAAGTGAATTATTTTTAAGTTTTCAATCTTCATTGAGTGTCGTTTGCTGTGCTTATATGCTTGGTTTTAGTCTTGATGATTAGCTACCATCTTGACTCTTAGTAAATTTGATGCAAGTTGAACAAATGCCATGTTTTCAACTTGAGTTGATAGCTTCTTGCATTTGAGAAACAAAAATCAAATTGTTTAAGCCATTCATCGAATTGCCTATAATGATAAGGCAGAGGAGACCCATATCTGAATTTGAGAAACAACATGCTCGGAAGTGATAGAAAGATTGGGGTTTGATTGAATTTGAACCTCTAGTTTGTGGTTCGTCATTCGCGAGGCAGAGAAAGGAATAAAGCCCAGCCGCACGATCTCATTAAAAGAGATCAGACAGCTCACCGTACCATCCCCATTTTTCGGCCAAAATGAGGATCCCGCTTGATAAAGGACCCAATAATTTGTATGAATGCCCAATTGGTGAAGCCCAAAAGGTTGATATTTCTGCATCATCCTGATTTACAGTACGTTGCAGTGGGCGCATTAGGGGGAACAAAAGGTACAGTCTCACAGGGCTCAGGGCCCCCAAAATTTTTACAATATAATATTATGTAATTCTATATTTAAAAAATTATTTTTGTTAGCACTTTAAAATTTTATTGTGCATTCCTTATAAACATAATTTTTTTTCACTTTCTAAATATAAAAATTTGGAGTATAAAAGATGTTTTGAAGTTTTTTTTTTCTTGTTTGGTTGTTTAAAATATTGAACTACTTTTGATCAAGGAAGAAAATATCGGTAATATCGGAAATATCGGTAGTCCGAAAACACGGAAATATCGATGGAAATATCGGGATAATATCGATATCGATAAAAATTACATGGAAACCACGGAAATTGTAAGAAAAACTTGGAAATTTTTATTGAAACTTTGCAGGATGTTTATTTAGTCAATTATCTATTAGTTTATCAAAAAAAATTGGAAGGAAATACATTGCATGATGGATTTAACATTATCAAGTTGATTATATAGCGAGCTGACAAACATTGTGAGTATAGAAAATATGTAGTAATTAATGAAAGAAGTCTAAACACACCATAATCATTTATATATAATGAATTAGTACAATATTTTACACTTTATACATTGCATGGTAAGATACATGAGTGACTTAGTACCACATAGAGTTCCTATAAGGTTCAAAATTTTCACTATCTTCATCATCTCTATGTGTAGAGTGAGTGTATTGTGAAGAGTAATATGGCATCAAACTTCACTCATATCAGAGTCTTAATTCGAAAGGATTTCTATGTTTTAATTCGAAAGGATTTCTATGTTTTTACTTTTAAATTCACTTATATCAGAGTCTTAATTCGAAAGCATTTCTGTTTTAAAAAATGGGAACTGGATCCCTTCGGGATCCAAAGAAACTGAGCCCACTCATCAAATGATCCGAGTCATTGAAATTTGATCAAACGACTACAAACAAGGGGTCCTCTAAAAGTTATAAAAATTGCAGCCGTTGGATCGAATTTCAATGGCTCGGATCATTTGATCTTTGGACTCAAGTCATTTGGGTCCGAAGGGGATCCGGTTCCTAAAGAAAGGAAACTAGTTATGGGACTCATTATATAGTGAACTTGAACGATTCGAACTGTTTATTTTTTAAGTCCTCGTTTGATTGTCATGATGAAATTTTAATGTTTGTTAGAACATAATGTTCGTCAATTTCTTTGTCATATCGATTTCTTGTGTCATTTACAGTCTACTATTAAAATTCAAGAATACACAAGTGGACACATTTTTTCTTATGATAAATAGCTTTTTCATGATACGTGAGCATGACTCTTTGCAATTTGCATGTTTGATTACCACCTTTGATGCACCATATCCTAGTCGCTTTCCACCAAGGTACAACAGTTCTTCCAAATTTCCCTTTACTTTTCACTGCAATTAGCGACAAGAATGCACCCCACATCTGATCGTTGCTTTATTGCTTCCATCCTCACAAGTCACAATAAAAGTTGACTAGAGCCATTTACCAAAGAAAAAGTTGAGTGAAGTTTGATGCCATATTACCTTTCAGCAAATAGAGTTCCATATTACCGAGACCCACATACACCCTCATTTCTCTCTGCACCGACACCCACACACACCTCTCCTTTCTCTCTGCACCGACACCCCACCCACACACACACCACGGCCTTCTGCTCCTCCCTCTCCTTTCTCTCTGCACCGCGACCCACATACACCTCTCCTTTCTCTCTGCACCGACACCCACACGCACACCATCGCACCTGCTCCGGCGAGTTCCTTCAATTTCTCCGGTTAGGTAAGCTTGGGGTTTTTCTTTTTATGTTCTAGATCGAAGGTTAGATGTCAAATTGAAGTTCTATCTCTTCTTTTTGCAAGGTTTTTGGGATGAATTCGACTCGGGAACATGGAAACCCATCTCCGGCGAGGCCGTGGGTGTCGACGAACTTTCCGAACACCTCCGGCCGTTTCACGGCAAACGGACGTTATAAAAACGTTCCTCTCGTCTTCTATTTCATGTTCATACCTAGATCGGAGTCTAGGGGGTTGTTTTACAGTCGGCCGGAGCTGTAGAAGCTTCGGCGTTCGTCTCCGACTTGTACATTTCCGACATTTCGCGATAATATCGATAATATCGCGATATTATCGATATTATCGATATTATCGCGAAATTTTGCCGAAAACCCCTTGGATACCACCTAAAATATTGGTGCACGAAAAAAATGATAATATCGGCGATATATCGCCGATATTATCGATATTTTCTTCCATGCTTTTGATTATTTAGTAAAGTTATGTTTGTAGCTTTTAATGATATTTATAAACTTGCATTCAGTGACTGCTAAAATTTATTTTGGTTTCAATGATTGTTTTCTAACATCAAAACATTATCCTACTTTCTTTTAAAAACTATCTTAAGGAAGGGCCCTGCTATAAATTTCGCAGAGGGCCTCCGAAATCTCAGAGACGGTCATGCTGCCCTGGGTAACCTTACAAGGTCTTTGAGCCTGGTACATGTGGAAAAAGAGAGTGAATAGAGCCTAATAAGGCCTGATTTGGTACTGATGTGATTCTGAAAAAAGCTGGTATCAAAAAAAAGCTGGGAGCCTTTTTTGTGTTTGGTAAACATTTAGCTTCAGCTTTTTTTCACAGTTTTGGGTGAAAAAAAGCCAAAAACAAGAAGCTGCAAAACTCAGCTTTGAAAAACCGGCTTTTTTTCACATCTGTTTTACATAAAAGTTTACCAAACACTATAATACTGCTTTTTTTTTTTCAAAAGCATTTTTACAAAAAAGTTTACCAAACATTCTACAACTTTATTTCACAGCCGCTTATTCTCACAGCACAGCAGAAACAACTTTTTTTTCAAAACACAGTAATACCAAAATAGCCCTAAGACCTCTAATACAATCCGGGCTACGAACTAGATTACCGCTTAGGTCTAAGTTTTGTAGTGAGGATAAGTTACGAAATGGCTCAGGAAAATCATCATCTTCAGAAAGATTGCAATTTTCCAGGTTTAAATCGACTAAGTTGCATGGCAAATGAGAAGTCCAAAACATTTCAGGATTAGTTTGTTGCCCTAATTCAATCCCCGAATCCGCTATTGCATGGAGTAATTTATGAAATGGAACTCCATATGCTTGAAACACTTTTAGAGATTTCATGTTCCTCATATCCATTGGAAACTCATTAAGATTTGAGCAAGCAGAGATAACATGTATTTCAATGAATTTTAGCCAAGAAATGTCCGGAAGCTTCCTATCATTTTTACAATCTTCCATATTCAACTCAACTAGTTTCTCTAGGTTCCAGTGGATTCATGGACACCAACCAAGTTTGGACGGTTTTTCAAAATTAGAACCTCTAGATTGTAATTACAAATGAAAAGTCAAGGGGTTTCACTAAATAGAGCAAACTACTCATTTAGCAGCTTAGATGACCTTGGGCTCTCCAGCAGCCATCCTACCTTCAGTAACCACTTCGCACTCATTAGTTTGCTCATCCGACACTTCATCTTTAGGAGCTCCAATCTTGGCAGCTCCATCCTCGATTGCTCCATCTACGACAGCTGAGGAATCAAACTCAAGCAGTTTCCTCCTTCTTGGCAAGCAGCACAGACGTGGCAGCAACAAAAGGAGTAGGCTTTGTACTGGTTTGGTATTGAGGTGTTTTTGAAAAAAAAAAAAAAAACAGGTATAAAAAAAAAGCCGGGAGCTTTTTTGTGTTTCGTAAACTTTCAACTTCAGTTTTTTTTTCACAATTTTAGGTGAAAAAAAACCAAAAAAATAGAAGCAGCAAAGCTAGCTTTGAAAAAATGTCTTTTTTTGCTTCCACAGCTTCTGCGCAAACCTAATTTGGAAGAGGCGACGATTTCTTTAATGAAACTTTCAAATACCCAAAATGGTCTTAAACAATTAAATAAAGTACACATAATACCAACTGGAAGACGTCGCCGACTTCAATTGGGAGATTGTCCTCATCAACTCCACCACAACGCCGTTCACTCCTAGCTTCAACAATCACCATTATTGACCTTGGATTTCATACCTTACGACATCATTTATGTCTCTGTCCTTTCACCCATCTCTCGTTCGTCCTCTCTCACTCCCACGCCGACAAAATTGCACAAAGAAACACCACCATCTTTTCCGGCGATAACCAGACTCGAATTCATATTCGGTTTTGGCATTGCAGACTTGCCCAGATTTCCCAGATTGCATCGCTTATAGGAGACTGGTCTTCGTATTTCTGCAAATTAGGAGAGCCCAGATTGCTCATATAGAGAGAATGAGGAAGAAAAATGCAGTGAGACAGGTGAGAGAGATTAAGGAACAACCCATCAAAGACGGCATAATCACGGCGTTGGCGCCTTCAAAATCCATGGAGATGAAAATAAAAAAGAAGAAGACGGAGCTATTAAAAAAAAAGAAAATTGGAGTAGTGGGGGAGACTTCTAGAGAGATTTTTTTTGGTTTTTGGAAAAGTCTAGTCGATGCAGATGGAGAAAATAAAGGGGAAAGACTCTAGAGAGAGTATTAATAAATAAAATTATTATTATTCTTTATTTTTTGTCAAATATAAATAAAATTATTCTTATTTTACATTTAATATCATACTCATTTTTGTCATTTGACATAGTCACAGCAACTTTATATAAAAGTTTACCAAACATCCTTACACTTAAAAGCATTTAAAAAAAAAAGTTTACCAAACACTCAACTGCTTTATTTTTACAGCTGTTTATTCTCACAGCACAACAGAAGCAGTTTTTTTTAAAAGCACAATAATACCAAACTAGCTCTTTAACGCCTCTTTAACAGCCGAATCCACTTTTCCAAGTGACAAACCATCTTCCTTTACTTCTTGTAGTGGAGAGC